GAGGCCCGGTGCACAAAAATTTGTGCACTGGGGGGGGGGGGTCCCCTCAGCTCGGGCTGTGCCCTCTCGCAGTCTGGGACCCCTCGGGAGATAACGATCTGCTGGCTTAGGCCTGCTCCTGGGTGGCAGAGGGCAGGCCCAATCCCTAGGTGCAGCCCCTGGTCGGGCTCAGAGCAGGGCTAATTGGGGAGTTGGGGCGCCGCCCCCTGTCATGCTCAGAGCAGGGTGGATTGGGAGGTTGTGATGCCACCCTCAGTCACGCTCAGGGTGGGGCTGATTGGGGGGTTGGGGCACTGCCCCCTGTCACACTCAAGGCAGGGTCGATGGGGAGGTTGCGGCGCCACCCCCTGTCACGCACAGAGCAGGGCCCATCAGGGGGTTGGGGAGCTCCCCACTGTCACGCACAGAGCAGGGCCCATCAGGGGGTTGGGGAGCTCCCCCCTGTCATGCACAGAGCAGGGCCCATCAGGGGGTTGGGGAGCTCCCCCCTGTCATGCACAGAGCAGGGCCCATCAGGGGGTTGGGGAGCTCCCCCCTGTCATGCACAGAGCAGGGCCCATCAGGGGGTTGGGGAGCTCCCCCTGTCGTGTACAGAGCAGGCCCATCAGGGGGTTGAGGAGCTCCCCCTGTCATGCACAGAACAGGGCCCATCAGGGGTTGGGGAGCTCCCCCCGTCATGCACAGAGTAGGGCAGATAGGGGAGTTAGGGCACCGCCCTCTATCACCCACAGAGCAGGGCCGATCAGGGGGTTGGGACGCCGCACCCTGTCACACACAGAGCCACAGGGCGATCAGGGGGTTTGGGCGCTGCCCCCTGTCACGCTGATCCCGGTGCTGGGAGGCATATTACCCTTTTACTATATAGGATAGAGGCCTGGGGGCCAGCTGGTTTGCCCTGAAGAGTGTCCTGGATCAGGGTGGGGGTCCCCACTGTGGTGCCTGGCCAGCCTGGATGAGGGGATGATGGCTGTTTGCAGCTGGTCACACACCCTGCAGGGTGGGGGTCCCCACTGGGGTGCCTGGCCAGTCTGGGTGAGGGGCTGAGGGCTGCTTTCAGGCTGGTGGTTGTTGATTGAAGCTCCTAACCGCTCCTTTTTTTTATTTTATTCTGGGCCAGCTTTAGCTCTGGCTCTAGCTCTGAGAGCAGGTATCTGGTTTGTTTCGGTTCTATAATTGAAACAATGTATAACTAACTCCAGCTCTGAGATCCCGGCCTATATTTGTTAGAATGTTTCAAACTGCCAGCTCAGAGGCCGGCAAGGCAGGCGGGGAACGTTGGAGTCCGCAGTCACTGAAGCAAGCAAGCCTCATGTTTGCTTCCAGCTGCCTGGCTGCCAGCAGCCATCTTGGCTGACAGTTAATTTGCATAAGGATATGCTGATTAGCCAATGGGAAGGGTAGCGGTCGTACGCCAATTACCATGTTTCTCTTTTATTAGTGTAGATTCCTCATGAACTGATGCCTAAGGCCCTACAACGTACCTGCTACTGCCCAGTCCTAACAGAAGCTCACACTGATATTAGTGAGGAAAAGGTAAGTACGGAGAAATGTACTCATATTATTCCAGAAGGAAATAACATTGCTTATCAACATCATACAAATCCATCAGGAGGACAGGCCGTGATGGCTTCAATGTCAACAGGCCACAGGGAGCTTTTCATGAGTGAACTGGTCTAGGTAGAGACAGGGACTCCTTGTTTGACCGTAGGGTCCAAGGCGTCACCTCATATAACTACTTTGATCAGCCCAGGTTGGATCAGGCCCACACTCATTGATGTAGTCTTCCGTGCAGGGCCCTTAATGACTCTGTGAGTGACATCAGACCCGGGTCATAATGGACAGCTCAGGTTGCACGGTAACTTGGTGGCCCATGTTTAAGATTTGTTCTTTGTAACCCAGGAAATCCTGTGGGACAAATCTCTGTCCATCCACAGGGTGATGACTGCCCCTCACCCAGAATGTTTGCCCCTCTGGCTAGGACCACTTTTTTTTTTTTAATATGGAACGCTTCATGAATTTGCTTGTCATCCTTGGGCAGGGGCCATGCTAATCTTCTCTGTATCGTTCCAATTTTAGTATATGTGCTGCCGAAGCGAGCACTGGCTAGGACAACTTTTGACTAATGGGGATGGAAGCCACCAGCGATGCCCTGATGGACTCAGCCAGAGGCTGGAGCCATTGCCGCCCACAGGTCTGTGGGGGAGCCAGGGCACCTATGCAGCTTGGCCCCTACTTACCTCTTCCCCAGCTCTCAGCAACCCAGGGAACCCTGATGATCAGATATGCCAGCTTTCTACCATGAACCTTTCCAATTTTTCTCTCTTCTAGCTTAGAATCATTGACCCAAATATATACTCATGTCCTGAAGCTCTTTGTGCTGAATCTGAGTCTTGGCTATAAGTCATGTAAACAATCCATGTGTGCTGCTGTGGACAACTCAGAAATTTGTCAGATGGTCTATGTCATCACCACAGACATTCACAAGAGAAGCCAGGAGAGCCATTGGATTGGCACAGCAGTCCTCACTCCTCCATCTAGTGATGCTGTCACCCAGGATTCATAAACTGCCTTGTTTGGCGGACTCTGTAGTTAGAAATTGGCTTTGTAACTCTTTTTCTTCTTTTCATAGACACCAGTCCTCATTAACTGTCTGGTGGCTAACACCCTGCAGCACACCTGCTGCTGACAAGTCCGAACACAGGCTTCATCTCATCCTGAGTGAACCAAAGGTAAGTAAACAAGGATATGCTTATGGGTGGGGAATCCTGAGCACCTGCACTGTGACTCACACACCAGCCTTCCCAAGGTCCCAACCACAATCCCCATCTGTCAGGGACACTGGTAGGAACATCACGTCTGCTGCGGTGCATGGAGGGGGACACGCAGCAGCCTACACCTGTGACAGTGCCTGTCTTTTTCCGGGTTGAACTCAAAAGAAGCAAACTTTCAGGTCACTCCATGGAGTCATATACCCAACTGCGGAGTAATCTGCCTCTGAAATCCAGAGGCTCCCTGGGCGCTGGTTCTCCATCTTGGTAGCAGGGGCCAGATGCCAGCAATCATTATTTACCTCAGACACCTGCCTGCCCCACAGAAGAGCACTGGACACAAACATATTTCACTGAGTAAGAATTCTGAATTTCAGTCAGATTTCTTCCTCAGCTACTGACTCTAAAAGTGTATCAACTCTAGAGTAGTATTGTCCCACTCACTTGGCCCATTCTGGATAACGTCATCATTGTAACTGACCAGCAAGAAGTATTTCCTGTGGAAGAAAAGGGCAGTGAGGACCTTCAGCCTGTAGAGATGACTCATCCCTGAGGGAAGATAATGAAGGTGTATGGGGGCCTTGCCACCTGAGAGAAGGCAAATTGAATTGAACTATGGGAACACGAGGAGGAAGCATTTGCCTGCACTGTAGGTGCATATGGAACAAGGTGATGTGGACTTTGAAGTTGCTCAAGCAAAGTAACCACATGGTACAGCAGCAGCATAGGGTCTCCTGTAGTTAAAGAATCGGTGAGTACACTGCCACTTTCCAAGTTGTGTCTTCTCCTCTCTCTCTTTCTTCTCCATCTCCTACTCCTCCTCCTCTTGCTTCTCATCCTTTTTTTATTCTTTCTATTTCTTCTAAACTTTCTTTCCTCCCCGTCTACTCTCTCCATCTTTTCCTCCTCTCTTTCTGGTTCCTGTCCAATCTCCTCCTCCTTCTCTTCCTCCTTCTTTCTCTCAAAACAAACCAAAAGCGTAATGAGGATGTGCCCAAATCTGTACTCCTGAATCTTTCAAATCCTTCATGTTGGCACAAATCCCTCATATTCATCAGGCAGATGGTACAGCTTCTAACTTAATACTTGTACAGTTACAGGCAGTTCTTATGGATTGGTTTAGACTTTCTCTCCACAGTTGCCTTGACTCATCAGTGATGAGTGTGTGGGATAATTCCTCTGGTATAGTTATTTCAGTTATGCATTTTACAACCAGGAGCAACCACAGAATGGGTGAGATCAAATTTGGACCTATTTCAAAATGGACCTGAGCAAAAATTCACTGGTCACCTGACCCTCAGAAGCTCCTAGTCTTAGTGAGGGCTATAGTATTATTTTGGATTCTGAGACCAATTTCTGTTCATAACCATTTTCCTGTGGCTGCTGAATTATCTAGTTCATTGTTTCCCCCAAAGAGATAGTTACTCGGATAAAACTTTTTGAAAAGGGGCTATCAGCTAATGGGCCAACCAAAGCATTCCTTCTTCTATATTAGAGCAGGAATCAGTGGGCATTTCCACATTACAATTTTTGGTCCATCTTTGGATGTCTTTTTCAGCCCACCATCTCAATAAACTTTATACAACTTTGATAATAACCCAAGCTGCAGATATAAATGCACAGTCTCTGTCTTGTCACCCCAAACTATCAAATTCCCTTTCATCACAATGTATATTTCTTTGAACATTGTCCCTCCACCATTAATTATTTCCATACATAATCCATGTTTCCCTGCTTCTGTAAATCACAGAATTCACATGGCTCTTGTAAAGGGTAGCACACTTCCTCAAGGGTCGCACTCTGCCCCTCACCTTTAGTGTCCTGCTGGGATTTGTGTCTAGTTGAGATGGCAGCTGCTGCAGTAGAGCTCACTGCCATTGTCGTCCTTGTGTGTTTCTTCTTGCACATTTCCCAGTCCATGAACAATTCTGAATTATTCCAATTAGGTTATAGCCATGTAGGTTATAACTCTACCATGAGCCTTCCCAGTTTTCTCACATCTTTGGCTTGGAACCATTGAGAAAATAAATCTTCTCATGTCCTGAATATTTTCAAGCTGAATCTGGTGTCTTGGATATAAATCAAGGAAAACATCCATGTCTGCTGTTGCAGACCACTCAGAAATTTTTCAGAACATCTATGTCACCAGAAACATGGAAACTACAAACTAAAAACACACTGGATAGCCACAGCCATCCTCACTCCTCTGTTTAGTGATGCTGTAGCCCAATATTTAGAGATTGTCTTGAATGGACTCTGGAATAGAACTTGGTGTTTGTTTTCTCTTAATGATTGTCTTTTATTTTCCTAGCCATCTTCCTCAATAACTGTCTGATGGCTGATGCCCTAAGTACACCTGCTACTGCTCAGTCTTAACAGAGGCTTTCCATGATCCTTAATGAACAGAGGCAAGTAAACGAAACTATGCTGGCATTATTTGAAAACAGAGGAATGTCTCTTACTTTCAAAAACAAGAGGAAGACTGACAAAGATTCTTTTAAAATTATCCCATTATTAAATATTGGGGGATCATGTAGTTAGTGACATTATATTAACTTGTACAACTTCACAATGCAGCATAGCACACTCCAGTTTGTGCTCAACACCCACAGGATGGCATCCTTGTATTGGAACTCCTTTGCCATCGTATCCTCACTCATGCTTTTTCCCCTACGGTGACCGCCATGGAAAAAGTCTGCAGGTAGGAGATCTTCAAGGTGAATGAGGAGGTGAACGGCCCAATCTCTGCCCATCGTGATGGGTTCATTACCCACTGTCCTTCACAAACATCCCGAATGGTCCTTTGTAGCGCAGCCATCCAGTTTCCTGTTGGATATTGACATCATGCAGAGTCACCGGTAAGCCAGGCCACGACTTTGCTTCCTCTGTCAGCAGGTCATAGGGAGCCTTCCATGCGCCCACAAGTCTAGGCTGAAAGAGGGATTGGTTGTCTGGCAGGAGGGCCAGCTCTTATCTCACGGCTCTGATCCTCCGAGATCCTTCATGTGTGAACCATTTCACCTCCATGTCGTCTCCTGTGTGTGGCCTCTTTAGGCTCCGTGAGTGACCTCTCACCCAGGTCACAGTGGACAGCCAGGTTGCCTGGTAACAGTGGCCCATGGTTAAGCACTACTTTTCTGAAACCCAGAGAGCCCTTTGTGGATAAGTCACAGGCCATCCTCAGCGTGAGGACAGCCCCTTACCCTCACTATCTGCCCCTCAAGGCTAGGAATGCTTAGGCCTAAGAAGGGGACGCAAGCCACCAGTGCTGCCCACATGGACCTCAGCCAGAGACTGGAAATCTGGCCCCTCCAGTCCACTAGGAAGCCGGGGTCCCTATGGGGCTTGTCCTCTATGGTAGCTTCTTCATGTTCTCGAATGTTCTAAGAGAGGCTCCAGGGCCAAGGGTGCTGGGGCCCTGTGCCTGGCTAGGACTTTTGGAGAGAAAGGCCAGGGAGTGATATCAGAGCAGAGCCTCACTGAGAGAGAGGCCAGGGCCTAGGGCTTGCTCTCCCTGAGCAACGTGCAGCCCTTTGGTGATGGGCCCCGCTATGTGGGGCCAGGCGGGCTCTCTGTGCAGGAGCTTCGGCTCCGAGGTGCTGACCCTAGGCCGAACTCTGAGGCTAGCATCGTCTTTCACCGTGTCACGCTGACATTGACAAGTCACAGGCATTGTTCTTTTTCTTCTTTGAATGCTAATTGTCTCTGTATTTCCTTTCAGTTTCACCATAATCTTTGCCTCTAGGTACATATCAACACAGCAGATTTCTTTTTAAAACCTAGTATTGAAGATTGAATATCTTTCCCCATTGTAACCTTACATCACTCTCCCAAGGACAAATATGAAAACTCAAGGTATCTGAGGCCCAGACACACCTCCATGACTAGCCGGCTGCCTTGGAGCTGGGGACTCCATGCTTCCTGCCATCAGCAGATCCAGCCCCAGAAACAGACGAGTTTACAATCATCTCTGAAAACTTCCATGAATGGGTGTCCTGTTCTAAGCTGGGTCACCCAGGAAGGATGGGGGTAAGAGGGACATTTTGCTCCAGAAACAGAATGTCCAAAAAGGCCCAGGCCATTATTTTCCCTAAAAACGGCTGGAGCAGAGTAAAATCCCAACATGAGCCTCGAAGGCCTCCGTGCCCAGGGGATGGCGTTGCCGGCTGAGGAGGGGCAGCAGGGGACATGCGCAGTTTCTCCACAGGCCGCAGCAGGTAGTTGGGCAGGAGCCTGGCGGGCCCTGGGTTCTCTAAGAGGTTCTTCTAGAAACAGACCCCTCAGATGCTTCCTCTCAATTCAGGTAAGAAGTTACTGTTAAGGCACTTGGGGAGTTTCCCTTCCAGCTTCAGAAAGGAAGCGCAGATATGTGAGTCATCAGTGCAGCCCCCCCCCCTCCAGGCCTTAGTGGGCGACCTGAAGGTGGGGGACTCCATAGAATTGGACAAAGGCTGCTGCCACCACCATGATACTAATTACCCGATGTGACTGGTTCCATGTGTCAACTTAATAGGACCGAGCGCTCTGTAACTGGAGCAGCCTGGAGGCCAGCTCTGGGGCTGCACAGCCCAGCCATGAGGAAAAGCCGGCCCAGCTGCCCGCGTGTGGCCTTGACACAGCCCCTGGTGAGAGTCAACGGCGTGGTGGACACAACACTGCTCCAGCCAGGGCGCAGGGACATCCCTGACCTTGTCCGCAGGTGTTTAGCGGGGACCCACTGTGCCACAATGGTGGTGGGATGCCCAGGACACAGATGATGGAGTGGTACATAAGCCAGGGCTGTGGGGCAGGGGTAATGGAACCAGGGCGCCAAGCACCGTAATGTAGAGCAAGCCCCGCCTAATGCAGGTTGCAAACTGCCCAAGAGGCTTTCTGGGAAGAACTCTAGGTGGCGGGAAAGGGCCAGGAGGAGCTGAGGCAGAGCTCTGCGCCCAGGAACACCCCCAGCCCACCTGCCCCCAGCAGGGGCCGGAAGTACCTTTGGTCTGAGCAAGGTCAAGGTTCACAGAAAAAGAAACAGCAAAAAGAACCAGTAAGCAGAACCGTGCAGTGAGGGCTCTCCTTTCTGTGCGGGTGCAGACGCTGCTGGAAGCAGCCTGTGCGAGGGCCTGGCCCGTGCCCTGGAGCTGGAAGCTGTCCTGCAGCCGGTCAGGGAGCACAGCCGGAGGGCAGGCCCCGCACCGCCCCTGCCCCTGGCGCACTGTGCATGCATCTCTTTAGCTGTGGTTGGCTCAGCGATTCCCCAGGAGCAGTTCTCCCGCAGGTGCTCCAGCTCAGCCCGGTCACCCTGTCCGATTCCCTGTTACTGGCAAGAGCCCGGTTGTACTCCGCCACCACTGGTACCTTCTGAGCAGAGATCTAGCTGGTACCTCAATGCCCTGCACCTTCAGCAGGGGGTCAGCCTGGGTGTGTCACCCCAGGGAGCAGAGACCTCCCTGGGAGGTTAGGCAAGCCGGCAACGGCCTGAGCTGGGGCCCACCACCCTCGCACTACACCCCCCAGCGGGCCAGGTGGCCTGCAGCTGAGCCTCCTGGTCTTCATGCTCCACCAGGCACCGTTCTGATGGCAACTGGCAGTGAGTCTCAAGGCTCAGAGCACAGGACTGGCATGCAGAGAGCAGACACTCATCCCAAGATCCTACTGCTGCTGAGTTCCATCCGGAGCCTGTCAGAGAGCAGCCGCTGCCGTAGCCGGGCCTCATCTGAGTGTGCGCCAGCTTCACGCAGAGCACAAGGCATGTCTGCAGGTGTCGCAGAGCGTTCCCCTAACCAGGAATGGCCTTCAGCGTGGAAAAGACGGTCTTTAGTGAAAGAGACCTCTCCAGATACCTCAGCCAGACATGCAAAGACTATCGAGTTATTCCAGGATCCAAGGTCACATCTGCAGACTTTGTAACAGCCAGAGGCAATGGCTTAAGGTGTGTATTTAAACTCCAATCTCTTCTCTTAGACGCAGCGTCATAGACAATATGTGAGCAAATAGGTGTGGCTGTATTCCCATAAAGCAGTATTTGTAGACACCAGAGTGTGCGTTTCACATCATTGACATGTTTTGGGCTGCAGGGCATTGTTTGGGCTCCAAGACAGAGGCCCAGGCTGCCTGGGTCCTGGGCCGCCGTTGAACTCTCTGAGAGAGAGGACCAGGGCCTGCTGGGGGCTTCACTAAGCGTCTCTGAATGAGGAGCTGGGCTCCTCAATGCTGCCCTCTGCTCTTTGGGGCTGGGGAAGGCTCTACAGGGCTATGTTTTGCCCTCTGAGGCCCCAAGGATTAGCTCAGTGGCTTTGGGGCTAGGCGGGGCTCCCAGGCGATGTCATGCTGCACATCAACACGTCCCAGGCTTTGTTTGTGTGTTCACATTGGCAACTTACAATTAGTTACATTAAGCACCAGGCTGGCCTGCAGGGAGCACACTCATTGCAGCCCATTCACTGCAGCCGAGTTCCATCATGAGCCTGTGTGGAGAGCAGCAAAGGCCGTGGACTGGTTTCATTGGAGTGTATCCCAACTTCACACAGAAGCATAAAAGCATTTACAGATGGTCCAGTGTTCCTGTTATCTGGGAAGTCTCAATATTGCCTAACTAACTTGGAAAAGATTGTCCTTAGGGAAATTGACCTCCAAAACTCTTAACCTGCTTGGCAAAGACTAGAAATGGAGTCCAAGCCCTAGTTGGTTTGGCTCAATTCATAGAGCATTGGCCTGCGGATGGAGGGGTCCTGGGTTTGATTCTGGTCAAGGTCACATGCTGGGTTGTAGGCTCAATCCCCCATAGGGGGCATGCAGGAGACAGCCCATCCATGATTCTCTCTCATCATTGATGTTTCTATCTCTCCCTTTCCCTTCCTTTCTAAAATCAATGAAAATGTACTTTTTTTCAAAAGAAAATGGAGTACAAGACCCTAGAGCAGAGGTCTGCAAGCTGTTTCTGTAACAGCCAGAGATTCGATGGCTGTTGGTCTCTGCAGAAATTGACAGCAGCCATAGACTCTGTGTAAGCAAATAGCTGTGGTTCTATTTAATAGAATCTATTAGAATGAATCTTTTCTGTGGAAAATTGAGTGTATCTTTCATAAATTGACCTGTAGTAGGCAACAAGACATCCCTGAGAACCTGAGAGAAATAAGCACAGGGCCTAGGCTGCTGGGCCCTGGTACTCACGGGGACATTTCTGCTTCACTAGATGGAGCAACAATGCCGTGAGCTTCCTCTCCCCACCACTAGGAACACATGAGTCTTTAGCCAACACTGTACATCAGTGCCGACAGACTCACTAGATCCTGCTTGGATTTGCTGTATTTCAGGCTGATCAGATCCACCGAGAGTTCAGTGACTGGAAAAGGCCCAGTGCCCCTGCCTCTGGGGTTCAATGTCTCTCATCACATTTGGACTTTCCCATTGAGAGGGTGCAGTTCCCAAGGTCTGGTTTTCATAGAAGAGTCTTCATGCAGCTCTTCAAATATGCTGTTTCCAGTCATCAATATAGTTCCCCATGTATTGGTGAAAGGTATGCCATGTGGGCACTCCCACGTGCCATAGGGCTCAAATAACCAATACACTCCAACAGTCCCTCCTCCCTACACTGCTGAACTGCTTCTTTACTGAAAGGAGACAGTGGGCACTTCCATGCCGCCCCCTTGGGCCATCCTTGGATGCAGTTGTCTGCCAACCATCCCAATCAACTTGTGGGCCTTGTAAAATGACCCACACTGCAGATGTAAATGCAGGCTCTTCCTGTGGGCCCAAATTAATAGGTGCCTTCATGTCCAAACTTATGTTTCCTTGAACATGTCCTCAACCATTAATTATTTCCACACAGATTGCATACTTTTCTGCCTGGGTAAGTTTCAGCACTCACATAGTTCTTCCATAGAGTAGCACACTACCTCAAGGTCAAACCTTCCCTTCACCTCAGTTCCCTGCTGGGGTTTGAGTCTAGTCAAGGTAGCCGCTGCCACAGGAGAGGTCTCTGCCTTTATTACTCTTGGTGCTTCCTCTTGCACACTTTTCCAGTCTCTGACAAACCCTGGATTATCCCAGTTTCATCCCATACCGGTTACAGCCCTCCCATGATCCATCACGTTTTTCCTCGCATATGGCTTGAAGCCATTGTGAGATATACCTATTCATGTCCTGAATCTCTCCAAGCTGAAGGTGTGCTAGCTATAAACCAGGGAACCATCCCTGTCGGCTGTTGCAGATTACTCAAGCATTTTCAGAACGTCAATGTCATCCCCTCAGGAAACTTTCCGATTTTCTCCACATCTGGTTGGAAGCATAGAAGTAAACTATTGGTGCCCTGAAGCTCCTCAGGCAGCATCGGGAGCCCTGGAAATGAACTCAGCAGGCGATAAAGTGATGAGAGGGAGCATGTTCGTGTGTGCTGCTGGGGGCCACTCAGAGCTGTTTCAGATTGCGTGTCATCACCAGAGACACGGGAACTGGATGCAGGAACCCCACTGGTTCCCACCGCAGTCCTCACGCCTCCGTCTAGAGACACTATAGCCCAGTGTCTAGCTCTTGCCTTGCTTGGCAGGGCCCAGGAATAAAAACCCGGTTTTGTAACACTTAACCATTGACTTCCTTTCCTTTTCAAGACTCCATTGCTCACTAATTGTCTGAGGGTTAATGCTCTCAGACAATTGCTACTGCCCAGCCGCAACAGATTATTCGCCTGGTTTTTATTGAACAAATGATAGGTAAAAAAATACATGTTCTTATTATTCAAACACAGAAAAGTATCTCTTCATTTCTTGAACATTAAATACTTAAAAAGTATTTCATGATTACTGTTTTGGGGGAAATTAGTTAATCACATTAAAAACCTTCACTTGTACAACTTCATGGTACAACATAGCACACTCAGCTGTGTGCTTGCCACCAATGTCTGTCTCTCTGCCCTCTTGCCTTTGAGCCCCCATTATTCACCTGGCCCTCCCTCCTGCTTCCCCTGCGGTAAACACATGATTCCATGTGTGTATAGGAGACTTTGTTTGTTTCTTTTGTTTGTGCTTTCACATCCCACTGCCGAGGGAAAATATAGAACGTGCCACTTTATCCTTTTGACTAATGAAATCTCTCACTTTGAGGCTTCACTCTGGTGAGCATTACATGAGACGCAAACATCTTTGAATATTTGTGACCACTGAGCGAGAACGTCCAACGAACGTCTGCCCAGAGAGCTTGTGAGGGATCTCCTAGTCAGGCTTCCTCAGTGCCTCTGCCTGCTTCAAATCTGAGGCAGAGCCCTGAGTCAGCATCTCCTTCCACAGCTGGGCATTGTCAGCCATGCACAGTGAGTGAGGAGGCGACCGCCCCACCTCTGCCCATTGTGAGGGTTTTGTGACCCACTGTCCTTCACAGACGTCCAGAAATGGGCTGTCGTGCTGCAGCGGCCCCTCTCTGGTTGGCCCTCGATACCATGAAAATCATCGGGGAGCCAGGCCACAGCTTTCCTTCCTCTGTCAATAGGTCATAGAACACTTTCCAGGAGTCCACGGGTCTAGGCAGAAAGATGGATTCATTGTACAGAAGTTGGTACTGAGGTAAATTGGGACACAGACTATCTTCCTGCTTTGTTCCTCCCGGGTTCGATCATGTATGTAGCACTTTAAATTGAAGTTGTAGAGTTCCCAGTCTTTCTTTTCCTTCTCCTCCTTCTTCTACTTCTCCCTCTGCTATTCCCTCCTCCTCCTCCCGTTTCTCCTCCTTTTTCACAAGTCAAATCAGATGGTCAGTGAGGATGTGTTCCAATGGACACAATCCTGCATGTTCACATCCTTCCCATGGCACAAATCTCTGCCCTTCATCCAGGAATGTGGGAGGCTTTGGGTTTCCTTCTTATCCTCTTACAGGCAGTTCTAGAGGCTTCTGCTTTGACTTTTTCACCCTAGTAACCCCCACTTGGCAGTGATGAGTGTGGGGCTCATTCTGCTGCTTTGTCTATTTCGGTTATGCCTCCTGGGACCAGAGGAACCAAGGGTGGTCCCAACATATGTCCCCTACTTCAAAATGGACCTGAGCTGAAACTCATTGGTCACCTGACTCTTAAAACTCCTAGATTTAGTGCAGGGCCACAGTTATATTTTGGTTTCTGAGACTAATTTCTGTTCAGATCCATTGTCTTTGAATTATCTCGTTCATTGTTTCTTCCATATAGATAGTTGCCCTGGCTAAAAATAAAGAAATAAAAAGGCCTTCAGTCCACTGGGGAGGCATGAAGTAAGCTTTAGAGTACACACTTTTTGTTGTCTGTTAGGGGTCTTTTCTCAGGACATTCTGGTCTCTCCTCCCTTTACGAATTAAGCTGTGTAAACTGGCTCGGCCAGGGGTCGGTTAATGTGCTGAGCGAATGTTTTTATGGTTCCAGTGACACCATTGTTCACTTCACCTAGGACAGTTCTGCTTCGATAGAGCCAGAGAAGAGTGATTTAGGGACAATGAAAGAAAGCAAGAAAGATAGAGGAAAGGAAAGAAGGAAAAACTCAAGAAGACAGAAAAACAAAACAAAAAACACACAAACAAAAGCAAAAAAATGGGTGGGATAAGAAGCAATATGAAGGGCAGAGATGAAATACAGAGAATAAAAACAAAGAATTGGAGG